GACACATACACTGTTAGACATGACACATACACTGTTAGACACGACACATACACCGTTAGACATGACACATACACTGTCATACACAACACATACACTGCTAGACATGTCACATACACTGTTAGACATGACACATACACTGTTAGACATGACACATACACTGCTAGACACGACACTTACACTGTTAGACATGACACATACACTGTTAGACACGACACATAAACTGTTAGACACGATACATACACTGCTAGACACGACACATATACTGTTAGACACGACAGTACACTGTTAGACACGACACATACACTGCTAGACACGACACATACACTGTTAGACTCGACAGTACACTGTTAGACACAATACATACACTGTAAGACATGACACATACACTGTAAGACACGACACATACACTGTTAGACACGACACATACACTGTTAGACATGACAGTACACTGTTAGACACGACACATACACTGCTAGACACGACACATACACTGTAAGACACGACACATACACTGTTAGACACGACACATACACTGTTAGACATGACACATACACTGTTAGACACGACACATACACTGCTAGACATGACACATACACTGCTAGACATGACACATACACTGTTAGACATGACACATACACTGTTAGACATGACACATACACCGTTAGACATGACACATACACCGTTAGACATGACACATACACTGCTAGACACGACAGCACATACACATAGGGCTAGAATGGAAACAGATACATCTAAACAGGAGACATGTATTGCTATAAAAGATAAAATGTACATAGAACATATATAAACTACATAATATGATAATATCAGGTTCATTTACTATCAGCATCTACTGCTGAACAACTAATTAAGGTTATCAACGAGATAATTATAGAAAAAATCCAGATCTATCTCTGAAGAAGAATACAATAGTCTTCATTTATTTGGAAAATACGCACTACCAACACAGATTGTGTTTGGAACGCCGAACAATGTCCCTGTTTTCCAGTAACTAAATAAAAGTGTCACTTCCATGTGTCAGCACCGACAGGAAGATAGTTAAGGCCGTTGTATTATGTACAGACTCGACACCATACATAATTCATCCGCGTGCAACATACAGCGGTATACGGGAATTTCAAAATGACGCATTTAACATCCCTCTGTCGATATTTGTTATTTTTTTTCATCAAAGAGAATTTAGAAGGAGGATTAAACATAAAGCTATGCATACATGTCGTGGCACGGTGACGGCGGCTTCCGTCACTCTATCACACGCAGAGGAAACCCCTGCCAGGAACTCGTGTATCACACATTGTTTTGAAACGTTCCCTCGTGTAATATGTTGTTTTTTTTTACCATTTTTCGAGAACTAAGTACGAAGCAGAAGATATGTCGGTTGATTATCGCACGTTTGTTTGTTCTCAGAAATACTTATTGTGCAATATCTACAGTTCGTTAGACGTTTCGATCCGGCATCTGCGTGCATGGTTCGTCTCAACAGTGTCACATCTGTCAGATCGCACGTGCTTTTATTACGCAAAAAACACGTACGTGCTAGACCAAATATGGACGTTTGAAAGACATTTGTTTTCATCATCGAGAATATCCGTCTTTTTATTACCTTGGCTTTTGCAAAAAAACTGAACAAGGAAGCGTTTGGTTTCATGCAAATTTTATTGTGTAACATATTGTTTTTCTTTCTCAGAAATATAAAGTAATGCCACGAGTCTGGGGCTGTGACCATCGTATCAAGCAATATCAGTACAACTGTACTCTAGTTTTCTAGATCATCGTCACGGCTACAAACTGGCAGTAACCTATAATAATACGGTTTATAAATGGCAAACAAATTTACTTAAACTATTCCAATAGTTTTAAGATTTTTATCAATATTATATCAGTCTGCTTACAGTTAAGTATAGAATATTATAACTACAACACGACAACCGCGGTTTTCTCTCGTTTTTACAGGAAATTGGCACTCGTCACAACTCGGTTGATTCCGTACCTACGCCAAGGATACCGGAAACAGCCGAGGTTAGCCGATTATGGCTACATGAACTTATAATTATCGATTAACGGGTTAACATGCCCCGTAAACACGGTGTAGTCACCGTAATTTTATTCCCTTGATACGTCCTATTGAGGAATTCCATTTAAACATCGGAATTCGGATGCGATCTGGATATACTGAACTTGGGGATTAGAACTGTTGTATTTATAAATTCATAATTACGCGGAAGGACAAGTAAGTTGTCTTGAGATCAATACACAATGGACAGTTTAAGGATTCATATCCCACTGCACTGCCGTTTTTCCTGCATACAGTAACCTTCCATTATCTTCCGTATAGATACAAGTGTATGGCACATTTGGGTTCATACACTTCCGTTGTCCATGTGCACATTGCTTAATCGGTTTCAGGGATTGCAGAAAACAATCTGAGCTCAAGAGTTCGAGTCCCGGTCTGTCCTCGCAAGATTTTTTACGCTGAGAATACGTTTGTTGATTATATTGTTTTTAATTTTGTTCTCATAAAAGTCCCGCATGGTATACTTTTATTTTCAACAAGAATTCCACGGAAGTTGATGTGTCACCTGCGCAGGTAGCTGGGAGATTGTGCTTAGCACTGCATGAAGTTTGAGTTTGATCGGCCCAAGGAAACTCAAGCTATCGTACGAAAACATTTTTTTCTATTTATAGTAACAGTGATCTTGACCTTTGACCTTATGACCTTATAAGTAATCCCAAGCTAGCACTTTTGGTAAGGAAGCACTGCATGAAGTTTGAGTTTGATCGGCCCAGGGAAACTCAAGTTATCGCACGAAAACCTCTGTACGGACGCCGCCGCCGCCGCCGACATAGCAATACCTATGTGTCACCAGTTTTTCGCAGGCGACACAAAAATGATATACAAATGATGTTTTCCAGTTGTACGAAGATTCTTAAACGCAAAACCCTATGACAATCCCTCAAGTCGTGATTCACAGTATAAGTATATACGTACAGTTAGTTGACGCCTGACTGTGAATACTACCATATATGGTTTCGCTGGTTGACTTCGTATGCCAATCATTAAAAAGAAACATCAAGTATGAATAGTTTTCATACCAACATACGAATGACACGTCAATTCTAAACTATATGCAGTTGAAGTGTTCTTCAATTTCGATGCAGAGAGTTATACAAGGAACAGTTACTATATAAAAAAAAATCCGTCAAATATAGTTTTATTCAGTATCTCCATTTTTGATTTAAGGTAGTTGAACTGAATTCATTTCTCAGTGTATGGTGTACCAAGGTTATTCGTAATGCGATCTGCTAAAAGTGTTACTGTTATTGATGAAAAGTGCCGTCATGAATGAAGCTACATAAATGTCGTCTTCAAATTGGATAGGCAAAGATGAATTCGTAGAGGGCTTAACAATGCTCTATGGGGGCCTTCGTGTGCCTTATACAGTGGGAAATATCCCCATTTCTCCTTATCTGTCAATTATATTTTTTTAGTTTATCACAATGACGAATTACCACAGTCTTAATTGCTGTAACGTTGTTTTTGGCAGGTCTGCTGTTGACGTTGTCTATTGCCCTGTTCCATGGAAAATGTCACATCCTACGCCGGACGGAAATACTAGCTGGCTACCTCATTCCACACAAAAAGGTCATCAACGCGTCTCGGACTTACAGCTTCGGCTGGTCTTTCGGGCTTGCTTGGATTTGCGTATTTCTGTGTTTTACGTCATCATTTGTGTGGCTGTACAAGGCACAAGATCCACGACACTCCCGGAGCCCAGGTTCTAACTACGTCAGACATAGAACCTACACTAGTCCTGATTACGTCACATATATGGACGAAAATGATATTTTTGAATGAAAATTCTACTTTAAGAATTGTTTTTCTGTGTGGAGACAAACAATTTTTTTATCTTCTTTTTTTTAAAAAATATCTTATGAGATTTACGCATGTGAAATGAGTGAGTTTTTTTGAATAGGTAATACTTAATGCAATACATTTCTCTTATTCTGCTTCGCACTATATAAACAAAGACAAACATATTGACAGAATCATGACAGAATTCGTTTTCCATACATCTATTTGTATTTACATACACATATCGTTATGATATTTCATAAGTCCAAGTTTATTTGTGTATATTAGCAATATTGGGTCTCATTGTCCAACAATTATAGACACAATACCATCAACAAGACAATGATACTCCCGTATAAAAAAATATTTTATCATAACACAGTGTACATAAAAACTAACTAATGTTGTGAAAAATCAAAAAAATATAATCTTGTACATACTTTTATTGACTGCAATTAATTTGAAGATTATTATATATGATTGATATGAGAATAATCAAACAACTTTTTTTCTATTATATAGCATTTAAAAGAGTGTGTTTTTGGTGTAAGTTTGCCGTTATCCCCATACAAAGCTCGCCGACGTTGCTGCGTTTGCGAGACTACCGTTTCATCAGGTCAACATATATGTCAGAAGCAATAAGTTTCAAATAAAGACTTGTCATTTTTTTCATTTATCTTAGATCGAAATTTTAAAAATGCATTCTGTTTTTATTACCAGCAATTATATTTATTACCGATGCTAGTTGTGTCTTTATCGACAATATTGACTGTTTGCTTTAAAAAAATCTCGAGACTGCAGTCCTGTCGAGAAATTTTCTGCCATGATAAATTTTGATTATAAAAAATAAATTAATTGTGAGTGTTAAATGGCATTTACAAAACATTGAATGATATTTGTTAACATTTAGTTTCGATTTTTTATACCAGAAGTGCGGGCAAATGAATACATTCCGAAATGCATCAATTCTCGCGTATCCGTTGATAATTTTCAGGTGCCGTATTTGCCCTTAACTCATTCTCCCCCGAAGACACATTTGAGCTCTTCTATTCCAAAGATTGGAATAGTTCATTATGAAATTTTAGGGGTGAACGAGTTAAATACCATATTTTTAACGGTGTAGCAGTATGGACTCTTTTTGAAAAAGTACAATCCTTTCTGATTACAGGGCAAGACAGTAAATTTTAAATTGAAAAATAATCGACAATCGAAAAGATGAAAAACTTTTAATGTCTGGACTGCCTCTTTCAGATGTTCGACAACAACCTAAAACTGTCTCGTTTCCCAATCAAAATAAGGGGGAAATCATAATACGTCGAAATTATTTTCTTACTTAATTTGTTTGAGGTTAGTTGAAATTAAAGAAATTGTGTAACACTGTACCTGTTACAAGTGTGAAAAGGCCTAAGATTAATTTCAAGTATTGGTGTTTTTTAACTTATTTTGCTTCACTGACAACTGTCAAGCTGTTTAATGCTAGAGATGGGCCGAGTATGTGAGTTCTTTTGAGAATGAGATGTCATTTCTATAGTTCTATGCACAGCTGTGTCGCTGTATCCATGGTTCATGGCTGAACTAGACTTTAAATTACAGCTGTATCACCATATCCACGATACCGGGCCACACAAGACTTAAATAAGTATCCTTGGCCAATTCAAGGCCGTATTCGACCTCGATATACGACCGCGTTACCGTATGCATGGTGCAGGGCCGTACATGGTTTGCATGTACAACTGTGTCACCTTATACATAGCATTGGGCAGTACAAAACTTAAATTTACAGCTGTGTCACCATTTGCATGGTACCGGGCCGTGCTGGATTCAATGGACACCTGTGTCATCATATTCATGTTACCGGACCGTAATGGATTCAATGAACACCTGTGTCACCATGTACATTGCACAACTCTGCCATCAAATCCATGTTACCGGACCGTACTAGACCTTTGTATGTTCCGGACTCAAATAGAACACGCTGTTTACACTTGTTACCGTATGTCCCTGGTATACTGGCCGTACTTAACCCAAATGAAAGCATGAAATCATATGCATAGTACCGGTCCGTACTAAACGTCAATCTACAGCTGTGTTGATCGTGAAGTCATGGTACCGGGCCGCAATGGATACATGTGTGCACATATATATTAGTATCCATGAAACTAGGCCATAGAAAAGCTAATTCTGATAAGTGTGTCCTTATATACATGTTACTGGGCCGTAGCAGATAATTGTGTGCGCATGCGTTACCGTAACTGAGGTTCCGGCTACTGCATTACGTAGAATTATATATGTACGCATGCGTTACTATATTAAAGGTAAAGTGTCGCTCATCGACTACCAAAGCTATGCATTCATTCATTAAACGTGAAAATGATCGAGAGAGGGAGTGAGGGGGCAAAGGTACAACAGAAGAAAGACGGAGCAAGGGGAGATAGTAATGAAAACTAAAGAAAGCGCGAGAAAGATATATGGCGGTAGCGAGAAAGGGGAGTTTTCAGCGAAAGAGTGGGCAAGTCAAAGGGTGATGGTGGCCAGTTGCTCAAATCTTCCATTAATTACACATGTATTTTCTTTTTTGATTTTTATAAGATTGTTAAGATTAAGAATGCCATTAAAATTGATGAAAAGGCACATTTTGTTTTGTTCTTGTATTGTGTTCTGATAATTGGTGTCAGTATTTGTTTGAGTGAACAAAATAGTAACAAATCACAAATGTGTAGTTTTATTGAGATGTTTGCATGAACAATTTGATATATATTTACAAAATATACACATTTTTCGTTGTCCACAGGGTCATATATCCTTCTTTGTAGTGGGACACTTCAAGTTTAGCATTAATTTGATGATCAGTTTTCTTTCTGTAAAATATGGCAAAAAATGTTCAATGTTTCACAGAACGATCAACATGAATCGCTATTTCACTCTGATCGTACATGTACATGCTATCAGTGTACAATTGAAATGAAACCTGTCAAATCCGGTATCCTGTCGAACCCAAAATGAACTTGTTATCTAGTTTCTTAGAAAAATAACCTGCCAAATAAGATTTGTTTGTGTTTTAAAACCCTGTTTAATGATAAAACCTGGCCCATATGCTGTTTCCCAAAGAGTGTCGGATTAGACAGGTTAATGTGAACAATATTTTATGTTCTACAGGATATCGGATTACGGATATTAATGTGACATATATTGTGTCCCACAGAATGTCGGATTCGACAGGTAAATATTATTAATCTGTTGTTTCCTACACGGTATCAGATTAGACAGGTTAATCTTACCAGTATATTGTGTCATCTATAATGTCGGATTAAAGAGGTTTCACTGTATTCGTTTTGAAGGATATTTTGCCATTATACATATTTATTTTACTTAATATCCATCAACGATCGCTACAGCTGTTTCTAACCAGAGTTGCGCCAATTGATCTGACAATATATGTACTTAGCCACACCCGTGTATATTTACATTGCGTCTATGCTTTAATGTAAATTTAATCTAATAAACCTTGGTACACATGGCAATTAAATAAGTACAAACAGTGTATTCTCGATCCCATAGTGAATATTAATCATGATTTAAACATGTGATATAAAAGTAGCACTGCTAATTAATGACGTTCCCCTTCATGTACTATTCATGTACCGAGACCTACTATGTTTGTTCTGTACTGTGTGTATTGAGTAAGGACGACAAACAATGATAACACAATGATAAAATCACCGCAGTTGCTTTAAAGCAGATACATATATACATTTACCGGGCCAGATTCCCATGTGCACATGTTCCACGTTTTTGATATCTCGTCCCTTCTTTCTGGTGCTTATTTCTCGTTGACTCACTTTATGTGATAGTGCATCTTGCGCAAGAATAGGTCCTCTACATATATTTAGTAGTTAAAGAGTTTTCTAGAGGGATTCTTCTCCGATTTTGGTTGTCATTTGGTGGGTCGTCGTTGTGTTTCATTGGGCGAGTCGTCTTAGTGCACTTTCGCTCTAGAGCAGACAAGCGAGCGTTCTGATATTTAGACAATCAGCGTTCCTTGTCCGCGATGCTCTCAGCTGAATTGCTGCATTCGGCTGTCCTTAGCCGAGGGGACTATTGGTTTTATATAATAGCTATATTTTCAATTATAGTATATCAGTTCTATCTTCTTGAAATATGATGTACATGTAACTGTTCTGTTTCACTGTGTCTTGATAAAGGAGCGGATCGCTCCGAACATTTGACAACCTTAACTTGTCCACACTGTTGGAATTACTTCTTTGCCCCATATATACATGTATATAGATATATTTAGGTAACAATGTACATGTATTTTTACATTTGAAGTAAGTACACGTCTGTTTGCCAACTCATGTATAAATGACAGACTACAACTCTTTACTTCAAGTCAGTGACAAACTCAATGCATCCAAAAAAAGTATCTATTTGGTTGAAAAGGTACTGTAAACAGTTTTGTTTTCACGTAGTCCTATTTTCCACTTTATATTGTAGAAAATTAGCAGAGGGAACGGTAGCTTATTGCGCAATTGATTTACATTTCAGCATTATAGAGTTATACTATATATTATGGCTTACTTACATTCAGTGAACTGGGATGAGGTCGCTTAATCAAGCCGTATGATTATGTTAACCTTTCCACTAAATATAGTTACGTTTGAAGCCCTGTTGTATTGCATAGGACATGTTTCCATGTTCGAATGAATGTTTTCCACCAAATTTTCTTTTACATGTAGAACAATCCCCTTGCTCCACGTCCATATTTTTACAGATGCAAGGTGCAATCTATGTGAGGGTGTAGATATATGTCATACGAATGAAATGATATGTATGTTGCTATGGTGGATATAAGTGGTGATACAATGCTATTTTCCATTTCAATTATCAAAAATGTTGTTATAATCCATCAACTGTACATGTCAGAACCATTACACCTGATCGTTTTCCAACCGGAAACTGTTCGGGTCTTTCCGTCAAAACTTTTGAGTAGTCGAGGACCAATCATGACCTGACATCAAGTTCAAATTATGACGGAAACTGCCGAATCGTTTCCGTTGTCCCGAGCTGCCTGAAGGAAATTTTAAACAAGATTTTGCACAAAAATGTCTGTTCCGGCGTTTGCTACCGCGCATAATGGGAAATGTTTGAACTGTGTTGTATGCCATCATAAATGACAAAAAAAGTTGCATTAAAGCCTTTGATTACTTTTTATGTCATTTCAGGTCGCTGAGTCGCAATTTTTTAATAGACTGGAAAAAGTAGCTTTATTGCTGATATGAAATACTTAAAATATAAATCAATAGAGTATTGAACTGTGGAACTGGGGTCACCGCAGCGACATGGAAACACACAAGAAAAAATTAAAAGTGTTAAAATTTGCAGATTTGAGATGTTCATGTCTGATGTGTGACTGAATTAGGAACATCCTGTGTCGTACAAAATGTATGTGTTTATGAAGATAACCGCGAAAAACACAAAATTAACTACCGTGAAAATTATCATATTTTTACAGCATACAAATATAAATCAATTAATACAAAGACTGAAAGTAGCATGTCTCGCTCTATATACTTGGCTTAATATGCCCTCAATTGAGATACACATTTTTGCCAATTTTTCACAAATATTTTATAAAATATTTATTATACAATAATTTCCCGTTACAGCAGTAAATTATTCAGTCTGTGATTGCAATGGTAAAACTTCTCTTATCATTGTATCTTGTCCCAGCGGTTTGCATTTGTTTCTCTTCTCAATGATTCTCTTTGGCCAAGTGATAGTGACATTGATTGTCTATTGTAGTCGCAACCAAAATGACTGTTTTAACCACATGTAACAATGCCACCGAATGTTTCCCGATAACTTTTGTTATTTTGGTGTTTCATTTCAGTACTGATGTATTCTTGATATCAATCATGTTTTGATATTTAGCGCTGAACACACTGGCTATTCAAATACTTTTCTCTAGCATACTCGACCTGTCCATGCTATCAGGTATATTGTCATTGACTTCATTGCCCCGATCCCATCCTTGATATCCAGTGGTTACGCTCACTTTCGCTCCCTACACCCCTTGAGGATGTCATAGCAAAATCAAAGGCTCAATGTGCAGCGCCTTGTGGATGAGACGAGAAGACTAGTTTGGTCCTTTGTTGTACATCAAAAGAATATCGCGGACGCGTAACGGTAAACATTGACAGGCTTTGAAGTCGGGCGTCGCTCCTTTGTAATTAGTAATTAGCCCAGTGATTAGTCAGGCTTTTTTACCTGACACCAACCATACAGCTAGCCGCGTGCCTTCAAATATGCTATGACATATTCCAGGGGTGTAGAGAGCGAAAGTGAGCGTAACACCTGGATATCGAGGATGCCCTGATCATATCCTAACCGCTATTCACTGTAGCTATTGTACAATTCTTGTCGTTGTTTGCCTTTGCCTAACGACATAGCCTAAGCTTTCCTTGTCATCACAGAATTACAATATCTGTTCATCGTTGCATTAACTTGCCGGTGCTTACAGCTATATATATATATATCACAAACATTTTGTCAGTCTTTACCTCAATTTTCTTATTGTTCCGGTTCTGTTGTGACACCTTTCCTTACTTTGATAGCGACTCAACAAACGGTGCATGTTGCTGAAATGATGCCTATCCTCACATTGACAACTCTTTCGCAATTGATGTCTGTCAATTACTTGATGCATATTTCAACTCTAATAGCTACCTCACAATTGCTCAATTGCTGTAATAATCAATGGTCAACTTAATATGTTGAAAGCTTTCCTACGCTTTTCTATCGTTATCCAAGAGCCCATCCTAACGTTGACAACAACACCACACGTATTGTCCATACTTGCTCAAGTGCCTATCGTACCTTTGTCAGAAATCCCACAATTGTTGTGTATCATTGCCCCAATGCATATCGTACCTTGTTAGCTATTACACAATTGTGTCGATCATTGCCATGTTGCCTTTCCTAACATTGCCAGCAATTCTTCAGTTGTTTTCTATCATTGTCCGAATGTTTATTCTAACTTTGACAACTATTCCAATGTTTTTTTGTCTTTCATTGCCCCTGTTACCTATCATAACGTTGACAGCAATTGCACACTTGGTCGCTAGCGCTGTCCCATCAGCGTCTATCCCAGTCGTATATACCGTTGACACGTTTTACAGCACATCTTCCTGTAACCCGCATAGGAACACTTGGCCCTCGAAGCCCTACGCCGGCATACACGTATTCGATCCTGTACGCAACGTCGACCTACAATGAAACCATCAATAACACTCTGGCTATTATTAGCAGTCTAATTTACATGACCTTTCTCGTTCATTTTTATACAAAGTACGCGGTGCTGGTAGAAGTAAATTTGTTGTTTCCCTGGTAATTAGTAATGTGAAAAGTCGGGGTAAGACAGGTTGCCTAATTGACCATTTAAGGATGCACGTACCACTGTTTAAACTCTAAATATTCTTTGGAAACCTTTTTTTTATTCGGCATTGCCCTGTTAAATAATTCTAAAAAGAATCCCAAACCTTTCGAGGCTTTTATCGAAAAAAGTAGTAAAGATGGAATGAACAAAATATAATCAACAACTGTGTTATGAGTAAAACAAAAGGTTTAGCAGGGGTAAACTTGTATTCGAACCCTTGATATCATAATGTTATATTATCGCTCTACCTGACTGAACTACCTGAGTATACCGAAGCATTTTTAAAACGTTAATTAGAATTAAAATCAATGAAAAATTGCAGAACATGAACAAAGGAGAAAACACTACACAGAAACCTTCAATCAAGTACAAACATAGTAAGACCATGCGTTCCGGAAGGATAAATTCTGTGAAGGTCAAAACTAGGTGAAATCCAAAAAAAATGCCGCGTGTTCAAAGTGAGAATGAGGTAGTGATAACAAAAGCAATAGGACCACAAATGGGCATTATTAAAAATATTTTAAGTTCAAATCGCACAATGAAATGATTAATTTTTAGATGAAATCGTAATGGCTACTATAAAACTGAATCATAATCTTCATTAGCTTGCCTCTTTCCAAAACCTTTGGTCGTCCGTCAGTACTTTACCTTTATCACAGATATCGTGCCAGCCCGTGACTATCGACTCAACAGCGACATGCAAGCATCGACATCTTAGGTTTGGTTTGGTTTTTGTGACGACCAAGTCAAAGCTAAGGTCATATAACGTTATGCTTCCATGTGTGTGGTGTATATGAACTTGTGTGTATTTGTGCTGAAGAGAATATTGGTGTATTTGCCTTCTTGCGATAAACCGGATTAGATGCTCACTTTAGTATTTAAAATACCATGTCGCCAACACAGCATTCCACCCGGTCCCATTATACGGACAACAGGTGAACCAGTTGTTACTATTACCCTTTATACTGAGTGTTAAGCAATTAATAACAACTACCAATTTGAGGGCAAAACCCGTAAGTTATCTAATATATCAATTACATAACCTTTTTATCCGGTACACAAGGAAGGAAATTTACTTATGTCTTATTAACCTTTTTTAGCTATCTTAACATAATTCAATACACATCGGATTAAGTCTAAAAGCGTAACAATTCAATTTCAACGGACAATTATAGGCTCCCATGAATGAGTTATCTTTAAGAATTGGCCATAAATTATTGCCGTTGAATGCTTTTTCCCGTATTTTAATTAAAAACAGTTTTTTGATCCAACAAACGTCACTGAGAATGTTCAAGCGTCATATATAAAACCCGTCAAATTAACGTTGATTGTGTAGTCGATAGGGATATTGATATCAACACGTCAATTTTGAACAGTTTCAATTTGATTAAATTCCATCTTTATCACTTTAATACGGTCGTAAATCACTCAGGTGGCCGCGTTGTGGAAAGTAATGAAAAGGGTTCCTGTTTGTTTTCCGTTCATTCGGAAGAATAAGTCAATTTCCCAATAAGCACGATGTCAAAATAAAGACGGAAATGACGTCATAATATCACTAAGTGACGCTAGCTGCGAAGAGTAATACAAACTTTATGGCACAGCTACGTGGGATACTTTACTGGCAAACGATGCATTAACTATAGTAGCGGTGTGAGAACATTAATGTTTTATCACTTTCAAACAAAAGTGAAAACTAAAAATCTTGTTTACTTACCAAATTTGAGTGAAAGTCTATAATAAAAGTATAAATAATATATGAACTTTAAAAAGACGACATAAAATTATTTTGTAAATGCATGTGAACCTTACCTCTAGAACATGGCCGAGAGTTACAGCTCTCTTCTGTACCGGGGCGATCTCCGGAACAATTGCTGATGTCATCAGTCTCAGGCTGCGGATTTGTGCAGAACACATTTCGAGTACGTGTTCCCCTTCCACATGATACAGAGCACTGCAACAGAGTACGTAATTAGAAATCCTGACAAAGGACATGCACACATATGTGATACTTTGGTTTGGTTTATTTGTACTTTGCATCCTATTAACAGCTATGGTCATTTAAGGACGACCGGAGCACCCGGAGAAAAAACACCGACCTGTGGGCAACACCTGGTGGCTGCCCGATGTAGGCTTAAAAATCTGCGATCCAATTTGGAGGGAAAGTGACTGTAAAAGGTAAGACGCCTTAAACACTCGACCACCGCAGCCCCATCAGTCGTTCTCATATACTGTCACATTTATAACGTTGTATAGTGTTAGGGTGCAATAACAGCTCAGGACCCATGCAAATGCATTTTGTAGACTACTAGTTGGAAAATGTTAACAAAACAGACCTGTAAACGAGCTTAGCAAACTAAATTTCCCCAAAATCTTTTTGGTTTTTTTTTTACTGATTTTTTTTTCATTTTTTCAATTGACTAAGTGGCAGTTTCCGAATCAAGGTATCGGAGATTTCCCGATTGTGACGTCATCCACGTGAACTGAGATACGAGATGAACAACACACTAAGACATTATGATCAAAATCCATACAAAAACATTTGACACCAAGACGGTCAGTAAGACAATAACTATGTCACATGACGGACAACTTACCTGAGACCATTCACTAGACTGCCATTCCATAAGACATGGAAGTCTGTTGCACTCTAATGACGCCGGTGGTGACGTCACTGGCCCACACAACACAGGGTCGACCTCTTCAGCATCAGAGGTTTGGCAGTTCAGTATCGGTATCCGAATGCCCTCGAATCCACACGAATGTGTACATTGTGCCCAATCAAATATTTTCCACATGTAAGTTTGTACTGGACATGGAAACCTGTTACAAGCCGTGTCTACTTCCGGCCGCTCTTTTCCATAGCAAACTTCATCGTCCACGTATTCTATAAAAGTGTCATTTCCATTCACCTTCTGGCAGGCGTACACTGTGTCCAGCACTCCATGTTCACCACAGCTGTCGCTGCATTCAGTACTGTTCACCACCCACTGAAGACTTACACAAGGTATACGGTTGCATATTTTTGTAGATTTAGGTCTTGGAATGTTGTTACAAAATTGACTGTTAACAGTAATTGTGACGCTTTCATTATCAGGTGATACTTGCTCACATACAATCATTGCTTCAAGTACACCGTCATCCCCACAGGTGGCGCTACACTCGCTCCACTGGTTCGCTGTCCATTGATATTGGTAGCAAGGCTGCACAGCGCATGGCCGAGTAGAATTCGGACTTGGTAGATTAACACAGAATTTGCCGGATACAGACTCGAATGATCCATCCGACTGCCTCTCGCAAACATACCACACTCTCTCCACTCCTTCTCCACAGCTAGCGCTACATCCGCTCCAATCTGACAAAACCCATTGATATGTATATTCAATACAGCTTTCCTGGGGAGGACAAGCTATTGTATTGTTTGGTTCCGTTTCATTAATGCACAAACCAACCTCAACTACTTCTGTACTATTGTCTGGTGTGAGTCTGATGCATTCGACTGTGGCCACCTGGACTCCGTCGTTACCACATGTAGCGCTGCAGTCGCTCCAGTTATATAGTATCCACTCATAAATGTCGGGAACACATGGTACCCGGTTACATTCACGGGTGTAGTTGGGGTGGGGCAGACCGTCACACATCGAAATATTAACTTCCTCTCCTGTTCCGTCCGTCGTTCGCATCTCACACATGTACATCTGGGTCTGCGTCCCCTCATTACCACAAGTGGCAGAGCAGTCACTCCACTCAACGGACATCGTCCAGTAGTACCTAAAACAGAACAAAAGAGTAAGTCACAAAAACGTCACTCCACTCAACAGACATCGTCTAGCAGTACCTAAAACAGAACAAGACAATAAGTCACATAACAGTCACTCTACTCCACAGACATTGTATAGCACTACCTAAAGCTATACACGACATTAGGTCACAAAACAGTCACTCTACTCCACAGACATTGTATAGCACTACCTAAAACTATACACGACAGTAGGTCACAGAACAGTCACTCTACTCCACAGACATTGTCTAGCACAACCTAAAACTGAACGAGACAATAAGTCACAGAACAATCACTCTACTCCAGAGACATTGTATAGCACTACCTAAAACAGAACGAGACAATAAGTCACAGAACAGTCACTCTACTCCACAGACATTGTCTAGCACTACCTAAAACTGAACGAGACAGTAAGTCACAGAACAGTCACTCTACTCCACAGACATTGTCTAGCACTACCTAAAACTGAACGAGACAGTAAGTCACAGAACAGTCACTCTACTCCACAGACATTGTCTAGCACTACCTAAAACTGAACAAGACAGTAAGTCACAGAACAGTCACTCTACTCCACAGACATTGTCTAGCACTACCTAAAACTGAACAAGACAATAAGTCACAGAACAGTCACTCTACTCCACAGACATTGTCTAGCACTACCTAAAACTGAACGAGACAATAAGTCACAGAACAGTCACTCTACTCCACAGACATTGTCTAGCACTACCTAAAACTGAACAAGACAATAAGTCACAGAACAGTCACTCTACTCCACAGACATTGTCTAGCACTACCTAAAACTGAACAAGACAATAAGTCACAGAACAGTCACTCTACTCCACAGACATTGTCTAGCACTACCTAAAACTGAACAAGACAATAAGTCACAGAACAGTCACTCTACTCCACAGACATTGTCTAGCACTACCTAAAACTGAACAAGACAATAAGTCACAGAACAGTCACTCTACTCCACAGACATTGTCTAGCACTACCTAAAACTGAACGAGACAATAAGTCACAGAACAGTCACTCTACTCCACAGACATTGTCTAGCACTACCTAAAACTGAACACGACAATAAGTCACAGAACAGTCACTCTACTCCACAGACATTGTCTAGCACTACCTAAAACTGAACAAGACAATAAGTCACAGAACAGTCACTCTACTCCACAGACATTGTCTAGCACTACCTAAAACTGAACAAGACAATAAGTCACAGAACAGTCACTCTACTCCACAGACATTGTCTAGCACTACCTAAAACTGAACAAGACAATAAGTCACAGAACAGTCACTCTACTCCACAGACATTGTCTAGCACTACCTAAAACTGAACGAGACAATAAGTCACAGAACAGTCACTCTACTCCACAGACATTGTCTAGCACTACCTAAAACTGAACAAGACAATAAGTCACAGAACAGTCACTCTACTCCACAGACATTGTCTAGCACTACCTAAAACTGAACAAGACAATAAGTCACAGAACAGTCACTCTACTCCACAGACATTGTCTAGCACTACCTAAAACTGAACAAGACAATAAGTCACAGAACAGTCACTCTACTCCACAGACATTGTCTAGCACTACCTAAAACTGAACAAGACAATAAGTCACAGAACAGTCACTCTACTCCACAGACATTGTCTAGCACTACCTAAAACTGAACAAGACAATAAGTCACAGAACAGTCACTCTACTCCACAGACATTGTCTAGCACTACCTAAAACTGAACAAGACAATAAGTCACAGAACAGTCACTCTACTCCACAGACATTGTCTAGCACTACCTAAAACTGAACAAGACAATAAGTCACAGAACAGTCACTCTACTCCACAGACATTGTCTAGCACTACCTAAAACTGAACAAGACAATAAGTCACAGAACAGTCACTCTACTCCACAGACATTGTCTAGCACTACCTAAAACTGAACAAGACAATAAGTCACAGAACAGTCACTCTACTCCACAGACATTGTCTAGCACTACCTAAAACTGAACGAGACAATAAGTCACAGAACAGTCACTCTACTCCACAGACATTGTCTAGCACTACCTAAAACTGAACAAGACAATAAGTCACAGAACAGTCACTCTACTCCACAGACATTGTCTAGCACTACCTAAAACTGAACAAGACAATAAGTCACAGAACAGTCACTCTACTCCACAGACATTGTCTAGCACTACCTAAAACTGAACAAGACAATAAGTCACAGAACAGTCACTCTACTCCACAGACATTGTCTAGCACTACCTAAAACTGAACAAGACAATAAGTCACAGAACAGTCACTCTACTCCACAGACATTGTCTAGCACTACCTAAAACTGAACAAGACAATAAGTCACAGAACAGTCACTCTACTCCACAGACATTGTCTAGCACTACCTAAAACTGAACAAGACAATAAGTCACAGAACAGTCACTCTACTCCACAGACATTGTCTAGCACTACCTAAAACTGAACAAGACAATAAGTCACAGAACAGTCACTCTACTCCACAGACATTGTCTAGCACTACCTAAAACTGAACAAGACAATAAGTCACAGAACAGTCACTCTACTCGACAGACATTGTATAGCAATACCTTAAACTGAACGAGACAGTAAGTCACAGAACAGTCACTCTACTCCACAGACATTGTCTAGCACTACCTAAAACTGGCCAAGACGATAGGTCACAGAACAATCACTCTACACAACAGACAATGTCTAGCACTACCTAAAACTGAACAATACAATAAGTAACAGAACTATCACTCTACTCCACAGACATTGTCTAGCACTACATAAAACTGAACAAGACAATAAGTAACAGAACAATCACTCTACACAACAGACAATGTCTAGCACCACCTAAAACTGAACAAGACAATAAGTAACAGAACAGTCTCTCTTCTCTACAGACATTGTCTAGCACTACCTGAAACTCGCCAAGACAATAAGTCACAGAACAATCCCCCTTCTCCACAGACATTGTCTAGCACTACCTAAAACTGAACAAGACAATAAGTAACATAACAGTCACTCTACTCTACAGACATTGTCTAGCACTACCTGAAACTCGCCAAGACAATAAGTCACAGAACAATCCCCCTTCTCCACAGACATTGTCTAGCACTACCTAAAACTGAACAAGACAGAAAGTCACAGAACAGTCACTCTACTCCACAGACATTGTATAGCACTACCTAAAACTGAACAAGGCAGTAAGTCACAGAACAGTCACTCTACTCAACAGACATTGAATAGCACTACCTAAAACGGAACGAGACAGTAAGTCACAGAACAGTCACTCTTCTCCACAGACATTGTCTAGCACTCCCTAAAACTGAACGAGGCAGTAAGTCACAGAACAGTCACTCTACTCCACAGACATTGTCTAGCACTACCAAAAACTGAACGAGACAGTCAATCACAAAACAGTCACTCTACTCCACAGACATTGTATAGCACTACCGAAAACTGAACAAGACAATAAGTAACAGAACAGTCACTCTACTCCACAGACATCGTCTAGCACTACCTAAATCTGGCCAAGACAATAGGTCACAGAACAATCCCTCTACACAACAGACATTGTCTAGCACTACCTAAAACTATACAAGACAATAGGTCACAGAACAGTTCCTCTACTACACAGACATTGTCTAGCACTCCCTAAAACTGAACGAGACAGTAAATCACAGAGCAGTCACTCTACTCCACAGACATTGTGTAGCACTACCTAAAACTGAACGAGACAGTAAGTCACAGAACAGTCACTCTTCTCCACAGACATTGTCTAGCACTACCTAAAACTGAACAAGACAGTAAATCACAGAACAGTCACTAAACACAGACATTGTATAGCACTACCTAAAACTGAACAAGGCAGTAAGTCACAGAACAGTCACTCTACTCCACAGACATTGTCTAGCAGTACCTAAAACAGAACAAGACAATAATTCACAGAACAATCACTCTACTCCACAAACATTGTCTAGCACTACCTAAAACTGAACGAGACAATAAGTAACAGAACAATCACTCTACACAACAGACATTTTCTAGCACTACCTAAAACTAAACAAGACAATAAGTAACAGAACAATCACTCTACACAACAGACAGTGTCTAGCACTACCTAAAACTGAACAAGACACTAAGTCACAGAACAATCACTCTACACAACAGACATTGTCTAGCACTACCTAAAACTGAACAAGACAATCAGTAACAGAACAGTCACTCTACTCTACAGACATTGTCTAGCACTACCCAAAACTCGCCAAGACAATAAGTCACAGAACAATCACTCTACTCCACAGACATTGTCTAGCCCTCCCTAAAACTGAACGAGACAGTAAATCACAGAACAGTCACTCTACTCCACAGACATTGTCTAGTACTACCTAAAACAGAACAAGACAATAAGTAACAGAACAGTCACTCTACTCCCCAGACATTGTCTAGCACTACCTAAAACAGAACAAGACAAAAAGTAACAGAACAGTCACTCTACTCCACAGACATTGACTAGCACTACCTAAAACTGGTCAAGACAATAAGTCACAGAACAGTCACTCTACTCCACAGACATTGACTAGCACTACCTAAAACTGGTCAAGACAATAAGTCACAGAACAGTCACTTTACTCCACAGACATTGTCTAGCACTACCTAAACCTGGCCAAGACAATAGGTCACAGAACAATCACTCTACACAACAGACATTTTCTAGCACTACCTAAAACTAAACAAGACAATAAGTAACAGAACAATCACTCTACACAACAGACAATGTCTAGCACTACCTAAAACTGAACAAGATAATAAGTTACAGAACAGTCACTCTCCTCCACAGACATTGACTAGCACTACCTAAAACTGGTCAAGACAATAAGTCACAGAACAGTCACTTTACTCCACAGACATTGTCTAGCACTACCTAAACCTGGCCAAGACAATAGGTCACAGAACAATCACTCTACAC